AAAGTCATTTCTTAATTCCTTTTTTAAAAAATTTTTTCTTTTCCTGATTTCACAGAGGAAGGGAAAGAGAGAGAAACCCCAATGATGGGAAGAGAATCCTTGATAGGCTCTCTCCTGCATCCCCTCTCTCCTTGGGGATCAAGCCTACAACCTGGGCATTGCCTTGACCAGGAATCGACCTGTGCCCTCCGGGTTCATAGGCCACCACTCAACCACTGACCCACCCTGGCCAGACAAGTCATTTCTTTTTCATCCTAGCCTCAGAAAATGGTCCCCCCCCCCCCCCCCCCCCGTGGTCTTCGATTGTTAAGGTGCATTGCTGTTTATTCATTGCGGAGCTGCTCACTTCTTCCAGAACTTTGTATGCAAGAGGAGACTGGATCTGAGTGAGAGGGACAACTGTCAAACACCACCTAGATGTAATGGGCAAAGGGGAGTGGCTGGAATCTCAAAGAATGAGTAGTAATTTAATAAGCATCTAGAAAAGATAGGGCCCTGATACAAATGAGTTGGTGATATTTATTTTGCTACCTCTTGCTGCCTCCTGGTTTGGATGGATTTCTTGGCACTGTAGAAAAGTTAGCAATTGATGGATGAGAATATTAAAAATATTTATATACAAAATGTATCAGGCTATGAAATTTTACAGTGATAAATTTTATTTGCATTGTTAAGCATAAAATGCTAATTTGCCTTTTATTTTGGTCCATTTTTTAGTTAATAGGAGCAATTTAGTTATTCTGGTTGTTTTTCAGACCGATTGAAAAATGAAAAAGAACCGATGGTGTTGAAACTTAAGGACTGGCCACCAGGAGAAGATTTTAGAGATATGATGCCTTCCAGGTATGACTGTGGGGGTAAATGGTTCAGTCCTTGACTTGGTAGAATAAATTCTTTTTTGAGATGGTGTGAGAAAATAGTTCTCAGGGAAATATGGAAGTTGCCATGGTTTTACTGGCGCTGAGTTTTCATCTCTGCTCTTTAAACTTTGAAGATGTGTGTTTCTAAGTGAGGTAAGTTACTGAGGTTTAGATCTGGTTAATGAAAGCTCCGTGTGTTTTCCCGGCAGTGCTCTGCCAAGTGTGCAAGTGCTGAATTTGAGGCAGTAGTGAGATCAGAACTGCCATGGTTCCGTGTGAGATAGTCATGTCTTGCGTTAGACAATGAGCAGCTGGATTGGTAGATTCATTTTCCTGATTTGAGCTTGAACCTTGAAAAGTATCCTCAGAACTAATGAATAAATAAATCCGAGTGTCCAGAAAATTCATGGCTCAGATCTTTTGTCTGAGATACTCCAGATCATTTTGATACATTTTTGTGGTGAAGGAAGGAAGAATTATAACCTTTATAATTCTGATTTTGAATATTAATGTTCAGCTGTCTCCATCTTTATGAGCCAGGTATTTTTGTTTGTTCCTTTTGTGTAGAAGGAACAAATCATATAATAATGAATTAGAAAGGCAACTTTATTTTTCAAATTCTTTGTTTTGTACCAGGTTTGATGATCTGATGGCCAACATTCCACTGCCAGAGTACACACGGAGAGATGGCAAACTGAACTTGGCCTCTAGGCTGCCAAACTACTTTGTTAGGCCAGATCTGGGTCCCAAGATGTATAATGCTTACGGTAAGGAGGAAATGACTTGAAAAAATTATAATGGAATAGAGCAAATTAAAATGTTTGGAAAATTGATTTTTTTTTTTGGTTGGGGTGGATGAAAAATATGTGTAACCCCAACACTTAACACAGCAGTAGGCTTCGTTTTTGCATATTTCCTTTCATTCCTGGCCAAATGTTTGTGTATTTCCTTTTCAGAATTGTAGTTGTTGGGCATATGTAATTTTTTATTTTTCTCTTCTATATCTAATACATTATAAAATCATGTAGTTTAATAGCCCTTTCCAAAATTTTAAAATTGAGTTTATTGGGGTAACATTGGTTAAAAACATATTTCAAGTGTACTTTATTTTTTTTTCAAATTCAGTTGACATTCCATATTAATTTCAGATGTACTGCACAGTGGTTAGATATCTATCTACACTAATAAAAGAGAAACATGGTAATTAGCGTACGACCGCTACCCTTTTCATTGGCTAATCAGTGAGTATATGCAAATTAACTGTGAGCCAAGATGGCGGCTGGCAGCCATGCACTGAAGCGAGCAGGGAGGCTTGCTTGCTCCAGTGACTGCGAACTCCCAACGTTCCCCGCCTCACTTGCCGGCCCCTCAGCTGCAACTCTAAGCACACCCCCAGATCGCCCCTGCGGCTCTGTGTGTGACAGGGGGCGGGCCACAACCTCCCTATCTGCCCCTGCTCTGTGCCTTGATAAGGGGGAGCTCCCCAATCCCCAGATTACCCTGCGCTCTGTGTTTGACAGGGTGCAGCGCACCAACCCCCTGATCGGCCCTGCTCTGTGGGTGATAGAGGGTGGCGCCCCAACCCTCCTCCACAGGCCTTGCTCTGTGTGTGACAGGGTAGAGCCATAACCTCCCCATTGGCCCTGCCCTGAGTGTGACAGGGTGCAGCGCCCCAACCCCCTGATCCGCCCTGCTCTGTGTGTGACAGGGGGCGGTGCCCCAACTCCCCTATCTGCCCTACTCTGTGAGTGACAGCGGGGAGCTCCTCAACCCCCTGATCGGCCCTGCTCTGTGCATGACGGGGTGGCGCCGCAACCTCCCCATCGACCCTGCCTTGAGTGTGACAGGGGGCAGTGCCCCAACCCCCCAATCGGCCCTACCCTGAGCGTGACTGAGGGTGGCATCGCAACCTCCCGATCCGCCCTGCTCTGAGCCTGACCAGGGGCTGCACTTAGGGATTGGGCCTGCCCTCTGCCACCCGGAAGCAGGCCTAAGCCAGCAGGTCGTTATCTCCCGAGGGGTCCCAGACTGCGAGAGGGCACAGGCCGGGCTGGGGGACCCCCCCTCCCCCCAGTGCACAAATTTTTGTGCACCGGGCCTCTAATATATATATAAAAGCCTAAGCGACCCTTACGACAGAACAATCGGACTGACCAGTCGTCCAGTCGCTATGATGCACACTGACCACCAGGGGGCAGACGCTCAATGCAGGAGCTGCCCCCTGGTAGTCAGTGCACTCCCACAGCCAACCTTCTGCGGCCCCTCCCCCCGGCCACCCGAGCCCCCTCAATCAGCCCTGTTGGGGAAGGCCGGCTGGCCAAAACTTTCCATGGCTTTCTCCCCTCTGCCGGCCTCCCCCCTCCCCCCCCATAGGCCTTGATTGTCGGCCAGGGCCGAGGGACCCCACCCGTGGCACAAATTTCGTGCACTGGGGCCTCTAGTCCTATATAATAGAAGACTAAATATGTAAATCGACTGAATGGCAGAACCATCAGTTACTAATGATGCACACTGACCCACCAAAGGGCAAGTGCTCCAATGCAGGAACTGCCCCCCTGGTGATCCAGTGCGCTCCCCACGGGGGAGCCCCCGCTCCAGCCAGAAAGCCGGGCTCACGGATGACGAGCGCAGTGGGTGGTGGCGGGGAGCCTCTCACGCCTCCACGACAGCCCTAAGGATATCCGACTGATGGCTTAGGTCCACTTCCCAGGGAGTGGGCCTAAGTCGTCAGTTGGACATCCCCCAAGGGCTCCCGGACAGTGAGAGGGACAGTGAGAGGGCGCAGGCCGCAGGCCAGGCTGAGGGACCCTCCCCCCCCCAAGTGCATGGATTTCGTGCGCTGGGCCTCTAGTTTTAATATAACTTACAAAGTGATCTTCTTGATAAGTTTATGTACTACTCACCTGACACCATACATAGTTACTATAATACTAGAGGCCCAGTGCACGGATTCATGCACCAGTGGGGTCCCTAGAAGTCGCCCACGGGGATCAGTGGACTTCCGCACTGCCGCAACCCGGCCTTACCCGCCAGCTTGTCAGGTTCCAGCCCACTATCCTCGCCGCTCCCATTCATCCCGGGCCCGCTGCGCCTGCTGCCGCCACCACTCTGGCACCCAGGGGGAGTGTCCACAGGAGAGGCTGACACAGCTCCAGCTGCGCTCACCAGCCATGAGCCCGGCGTTTGGTGCTCATCTTTTAGCTGAGCGGTGCTCCTGCTGTGGGAGTGCACTGACCACCAGGGGACAGCTCCAGCTGGTTGGCCAGTCACTTAAGCTTTTATATATATAGATAGATTACTGACTATATTCCCTATGCTGAGCTTTAATATCCATGACTATTTTGTATCTACAAATTTGTACTTCTTAATCCCTTCACCCTTTTTTTTTAATTTCAGAGAGGAAAGGAGAGGGAGAGAGTGATAGAAACATCAATGATGAGAGAATCATCGATCTGCTGCCTCTTGCAAGCCCCACACTAGGGACTGAGCTCACAACCTGGACATGTGCCCTAACCAGGGAATCGAACCACGGCCTCCTGGCTCATTGGTTGACATTCAACCATTGAGCCACACCGGCCAGGCCCTTTAACCTTTTTTACCAAGCCCCCCAATCCTCTTCCATTCATGAAAAAAAAATTGTTTGCATCCTAAAGTATGGTATGGCAACCATCACTTTGTATCTATGCGTTTGTTTTCTTTGTTCATTTATTTTGTTTTTTAGATTTCACATTTAAGTGAAACCATATATCTGTCTTTCTCTGTCTGATTTGTACTATAGTTTGATATCAGGTAGTGTGATACTTCCAACTTTGTCTGTTTTCTCAAGATTGTTTTGGCTATTTGACATGTTTCCTAAGGCTTGGGAAGTTCTCATTATCTATTTCTTTGAGTAGGTTCTGTGTTCCTTTCTCCTTTTCTCCATCTGGTATACCCATTATCCTTATGTTGCTCTTTCTATGGAATCAGATAATTATCATAGTTCTTTTTTAAAAATGTTTTTTTTTAATTGATTTTAGAGAGAGAGGAAGGGAGAGAGAAACATCAATGAGAGAGAAACATGGATAGGCTGCTTCCTCCATGCTCCCTACTGAGGATCGAGCCCAGAACCTGGGCATGTGCCCTGACTGGGAATTGAATCAGTGACCTCTTGGTACATAGGTCGACATTCAACCAACTGAGACATACTGACCAGGGCAAGTTCTTTTTTTCTTTCCTCTTTTTTTTTTTTTTTAACTTTTAGTTCTCTTCTTTCTCCTGGGTCATTTCTAAGTTCCTATCTTTGAGCTCACTGATTTTCTCTTCCATCTAGTTTGCTTTGTTTCCGGTGCTCTCTAATGCATTCTTCATCTCATTTATTGAGTTTTTCAGTTCCAGAATTTCTATTTGGTTTGCTTTTATAGTTTCAATCTCTTTGGTAAAGTGCTGCTTTTGTTCACTAATTTTCTTCCTGAGTTCATTGAACTGCCTTTCTGAGTTCTCTTATATCTCATTGAGCTTCTTCACAACTGCAATCTTAAATTCTCTTGTCATTTAAGTCACATTCTCCCATGACTTTGAGTTTAATGTCAGGAGACATTTCATTTTCTTTCTGTACTTCCATGTTACTGTGGTTGTTCAAGGTATTTAACATTATTTATCTGCCTGTGCATTTGAGATATGAGTTCTTTTGTTTAGATGCTGTTTTATTCTCAATAATTTAGAGATGTGATGGGTAGGGTTCTTCTATTTTTTTCCAGCAGATGGTGATACAGTACAAGGTGTTTTTGTTCTGTTTTGTTTTTTTTCCTCTTGAGGTGAAGCAGCGCCACTTTGGTTAAGGAAAGTGCTACATATTCACTGTGAACAGCTCATCTTGGTTATGGGGCACTACCACTGTGGTATGGGTTTATGGTGGGTGCTATAGAACTGGTTTAGTGAGCTCCTAGCACTACGTTTTTACTAATGATCACTGGCCCCGCTGTGTTATTTTGGAGGTGTCTCCACTGCCTCTAATGGGCTCTGCTGGATGAACTGGGCATGGGAGACACGTGTGTGATCTTGTGGCTTCGCGCCCCCCCCTCCCAAAAAACCCATAATGAATTAAAAGAGGAATATAATGGCGGGAAAGGGCAACACATAGAATGGAATCCATTTTAATAATACGACATGCGGAAGCGAAAATAAATAGAAAATAAAAGGGCAATTTTAATAGATAAGGGAGCAACTACCTAAACAACGTTTATTGAAAATGCGCCCGCTAATTGTAGAGAGAGAAAGAGGTAGAGAGGCAGAGGGAAAAGATCAAACGGAGAGGCTCAGCCTCAGCGAGCTAGTAAAACAAGAGAGTGGTGGAAGGGTACAGCTGGCCCCTTCACCCCCCACACGTACGACTATGTGAAATGCGGAGGAGACAGGAGAAGACAAGCATGAGAACGACAGCAAGTAAGAAGAGTAGTCAGCCCGTCAGGGCCAGAGGAGAGGATAGGCGAGATTGTTGAGAGTATCGGGAGTTACTAGGAGTGAATATAGAGGTAGATAGAAGGCC